TGCTGTAAGATCTAAATTTGCAGGCGTAATCTAGCATGTTATAGTTCGCTCCGTATGACATGGATTGCAGCAATCCAATTGAGAAAAGATACAATTGACGTAATTCAGTCAGGGAGAATTGCGTGAGCTTCCTTACATGAGCTTTTGTCTCGTGATCCGTGAGAAAATATCTGTAAGAGACTGTACAGTGGTGGCTGATTTGTGGCTGATGCTTTGTTTGGCTTTAACATTACTAAGCAACAGAGCAGGACCATCGAAGTCCGATTTCTGAAACTAACGTTCCCTCAAGACAAAATGGCCCCGACAACGACGTATGTCTCTTTTTCTTCTCGATGTTAAGCTGATACTGACTGTGTATTTATAGCGTTCCGAGTGCTTCCGTTAGTATAAATCCGCAAATCTATCGGAATTCTTGATACTCAGTTTTCTCAACCCTTTGATCAGGCTATTGAAGTACCGGAGACGCTCCTCAAGAAAAGAAAACAAAACGAAAAGGCACGCGAGGAGCGTCTCGCTGCTGCTGCTGCTGCCCGTAAGGTAATTTATGTGCTTCCTTCTAGTTTCTTTTGTTATGATGTATACGATTCTTTCGACGAGTGACTAGCTTTAAACGGCGATGTTGTCTTTCAATTATACCATCTTTCGGGACTGAACTACTTTGCCGTCATTCCCTGCAGTATTACTGACATGTGACAATTTTTTAGGCTAGCAAGGCAAAGCGAAAGGTCATTTTCAAACGCGCCGAATCATATGTGAAGGAGTATTTAGCAAAGGAGAAGGAAGAGACCCGGCTGAAGCGGGCTGCAAGAAGCGCTGGCGAGTTCTATGTTCCCAGTCAGCCCAAAGTGTACTTTGTTGTCAGGATTCGCGGGTGCGTACATCGCTGGTTTCTACTCGGAGCCCTTCTTCATCTTATTCTTACTCCTCAAAGTATCAACGAAATTGCCCCAAAACCTCGCAAAATCTTGCAACTCCTACGTCTCCTGCAGATCAACAACGGTGTCTTCGTTAAGGTCACAAAAGCAACCCAACAAATGCTTAGACTTGTTGAGCCCTATGTCACTTATGGGTACGGTCTCACTGTTTCCCAAAACTGTGCCTTCTCACCTGTCTGTATAGAGAACCTAACCTCAAGTCAGTCCGTGAACTGATCTACAAGCGAGGATACGGCAAGGTGGACAAACAACGCATTCCCCTTTCTAACAATGCTGTCATCGAAGAAGCCCTTGGTAAATACAACATCCTCTCCATTGAGGATCTCGTCCATGAGATCTTCACCGCTGGCCCAAACTTCAAGCAGGTGTGTTGCAGTTTTCGTGTATGCTTGGGACGCAAGTGACATTCCTTCAATGTAGGCCTCCAACTTCCTCTGGCCTTTCAAGTTGTCCAACCCCAATGGTGGCTGGAGAACAAGAAAGTTCAAACACTTTGTCCAGGGTGGTGACTTCGGTGACCGGGAATCCAACATCAACAAGCTCATTCGCCAAATGAATTGATTGTGACGCCCAGTTGTTCTGTATTCCTATGTACTAGGTGGTTGTGGGGAGATCCACGGAGAAGGGGCTGCACCAGGTGACACGGCCGCATTCATGTCAGCGTAAAAATAATTTTTTCTACTCTTCTATGCCTATGAGTAAAGCCTCTCCATGAGTATCTTACTTATGTCTGACAATGATTACTTCCAAGCGATGTCGTGGGTTGATCTTGATGCATTGAGCCATAAACATCAGGTATCGTAGAGACATGATATATTCTATCCGTTTAAAGAAATTTAGAAGGGCCGAGGGATTGAAGGCCCCAGATGTGGCATGTCGTGATTTCATTTAATTTGATAAGGGTTGCCGGCACCAAAAGTGACTTAAAAAAGCCTCCAGTTTCAGGCTCTTTATTCACATTCACCATGTCCCAGTTTCCTGCCCTCGCTCAACTTCTCTCTGCCAACTCTCAATGGGCTTCAGACGTAGAACGTGCTGAACCAGGTTTCTTCGAACAGTGTGCTGAGGGTCAATCTCCCAAGGCTAGTTTCGTTTCGCTTCGATGAATGCCCTAATACTGAGAGGGACTTTAGGTCCTCTGGATAGGATGTGCGGACTCTCGCGTCCCCGAATCTGTGGTCACTGGCGCTCGACCAGGAGATATCTTCGTTCACCGCAACATTGCCAAGTGGGTGTTCATTGGCCGCCCCACTATTTCATTTCGTCTGACAGTCAAACGCGTCTCAGCCAATTTCATCTCGATGATGATAGCGCCCTTGCGGTCTTGACTTATGCTGTTGATCATCTGGGCGTAGAACACGGTGCATTATCTGCTTTTATGTTTTGCTACATCATCCCAACCAAATGATCTTTTTTTTTTTGCCCCACGGCACTTCATGGTACAGTCGTTGTCGTCGGGCATACACAATGTGGTGGGGCTGCAGCTTGCTTCAATGCTTCTTCAAACTTTGTTCCTGGGCGACCCATTGCTACGGTGCCCACCCTCCCGGATAATGCTCCCATCAACCGCTTCCTCGCACCCCTCACTGAACTCGCCGCTTCCCTCCAACTTTCCTCCGCACCTGCTGAAGAGGCCGTCCCTGCTCTAGTTGAAGAGAATGTCAAAATGCAGGTAGAAAACCTCTGCCAGACGTCCATTATCGTGAATGCGTGGGCGAACAAGAGTCTCAAGGGTAAAGATGTGTGGGTTCACGGCTGGGTCTATGATATCGCACAGGGAAAGCTCAAGGACCTTGGAGTGACCAGGGGACCTAGCAGACGTTAGAGTAGATAGCTATTTGCTTTATTTTTTGCTCCATGTAGACGTAAACTAAGATTGTCCTATAATGTTGACTGTACTGATGTCATTACATGCATGTGAACATATATTGCATGCGCGTGAGGGGCTAAAGGACGATATCCGCTTGTTCCCCAACGGCCAACCCTTTCATTGACAACTGTTGGAGATGGTCTCCGACTCTGCTAGTCATGATGATCGGCTGTTGGTTCAAATAGCGTCGTACAACACCAATCTGCAAGGCTCTCGTGGTGTACCCCAAGATTTGGTCGACTGGCTTTCTCCAACTTTGCAAGTTTCAACATTCCTCTCTCGTGAACCCAGAGCACCGGATATTGTCGCTGTCGGCTTCCAAGAGCTTTTGCCGTTACATCTTGGACGTACGCCCGGTTTTTATAATAGAAGGAATTCACTCAAACTTAGCCCCTAGTTTCTGGACTGTCTAAGCCGGTCATTAACGAACGAGCAGACCATATCCTTTCACAAATTGAAACCCATGCTCCTAACAAGGAAAAGTATACACTGCTTGCTAAGGTAGTTAACGCCGGCGTTGCTCTCCTTGTATATGGCCGCGACGACACTACCGGCAGCAAAGCTTGTGACGTCCAAACTAGTTGGACAGGTTGTGGTTTTCTTGGTTACATGGGCAATAAGGGAGCTGTAGGCGTCAGGTTCAGAGTTCCAGACTCTGAAGGTGGCGTTGGAGAAACGTATACGTGAGTCTCTCGCCCTTCCTCTGCTACCTTTGCTAATTCCTCCCGTGACAGATTTGTCTGCGCACACTTGACAGCACACGAAGAATACCTTTCCTATAGGATTGCGGATTATCGTCATATTGTTAGCTCGCTCCTTTTCTCTGACACTGTCGATGGTCCAAAACATTCGACGATATACTCCACCTCTCATCTCTTTTTCCTGGGTGACCTGAACTTCCGAGTTGCCATTCCCCCGAACTCACCAGTAGCCAGCCTAACTTCACCTCGTGAGATATCGGACGCTCTTAAGGATGAAAACACCAGAGCGACTCTGAAGGATTTTGACCAGCTTTCTGTGGAGCGAAAGAAAAACACTATTTTTGTGGGTCTCAGGGAAGGAGAGTTTTGGAAATTTAAATGCAGCTACAAGTACGAGCTTGGCGCGGTCGATAAATACAGGTGCGTTCTCTCGACCTAGACGTATATTAATCCGCTGACGCGTCTGTCAAGCGGAAAACGAATGCCTTCGTGGACGGACAGGGTTCTGTATGCTACTCATACTGACTCTGCAGATACCCCCGACATCTCGAATATTACCAATATCTTGTACACTTCTATTCCTTCTTATACAACCTCAGACCATGTAAACCGCTTTTTGACGTCTCACTTACAGTCTTCCGCTAACCTTTGCATTTGCTCAGAAACCTATTGTGGCTTTACTTCTGGTTCCGCGACAGAAAAATGCTTCTACATCAGACAGTGTTCCAGTTCTCAAATTACCTGCTCATTATACCCCCAAGCCTGATCCCCTAGCTAATCTGAAGAGATACACTGGACGTTCACTGGATCGAACAATAGGCATAATATGGTGGCTTCTTACCATGATCGGAGCAGGCTCTGCAGTTGTAGGACTATTCAATTTCATTGTTGGATTAGGTGCCTGGAACTGGTGGAGAGCTACCCATTCACCAATTCTTGCTGGAAATGGTAGCACTGTTTGATTACATGTATGTAGATCTGTATGTATCTGTGTCCAGTATCCAGTATATCTTGGAAAGAGGTGAACCCACGCAACGGCTTCAATCGAAAGATAAAAAACAGAAAGTAGTGTCCATCAGCAAAAATGTGGGGGTACCGCGGATCGAACGCGGGACCTTCAGAAGTGTCGTATCGACTTCAGTCTGCTGCTCTCCCAGCTGAGCTATACCCCCGACGACCTTGACGTTAATATTTTGTTACAAAATCCAGAGGATTCGTAAATTAATGTAATCAATCTAAATCTACATCTTGATACCTCTCTATGTAGATCATGCAACTCTGGATACGTAGCAGAACAGACATCTTATCACAATGGACCTTCAATTTCCATAGTGACGGGGCAATGATCCGAGGCGCCATATATCTCACTTCTAATCTCACACTGCACAGTTCCGTTAGAGCCACCTTGTTCTCAAAAATAGTAAGAAAGACCGTACCATTTTTACTTGGTCAACAATTCTTTCACTCAACACAACTGCATGGAGCGTTCTGCATGTAAATGGAAAAAAATCGCATTAAGAGTTAGACACTCACACATATCGAGTCTCCAACCAATGCTCTTTGCTCGGTAGTTGAACCTGTAGCTGAAATACGTGTAATGCTTATCACTGGGATGTTCTTGCCTCCAGACATCGACGAACTTGTTCGAGAGCTGTTCAGTTTCTGGAGGGTTCAAGATGTTCTTGAAAGCAGTAGTTTCGGCTTCTGTGTAACCAGGTGTCTTGTTCCAGTTCTTCTTGGCATTAGAAAGATCTGACATCCGATTTAGTCACCCATTCCAGAAACGGAAGAACGAGCGGCAAACCGATCTCTGTGGGTGCGACATTCAGGTCACCAGTCCATATTACCGGTTTCTTTTGATCGAGTTCCCGAATGTACTTCGTGAAATGTTCGTTCCATTCGTTCTTGACATCCAGGGTCTGTTGTTTTAGTGTCGTTCAGTGGGAGCGTCTAGAACACTTAGAAGTTACAAACCTTGAGCTCGGTCCCAGCATTCGGAACGTACGTCCCAATGACATAGCAGTTTTCGAATTCCAACGTGATAATGCGACCCTTGACAATGGAAGGATTGGGATGTCCCGGAATCGTCTTATTCACGGATAGAGGTTTGATCTTACTGAGAACGGCAGTTCCAGCTGAGAAAAACATGTTTGAAATCATTCAAGGGACGAGATTCGATAAACCCACAATAGCCTTTCTTTTCTGCAATGGTCCAATAACTGTGTGGAAATCGGCTCTTCAGGGAGGGATCGACAGGTTCGTTATTGACCTGAAGCATTGTAAGGGGAAGAGAAAAAACGGATCAAAAGTACACTCATAAGTACCTTTGTCTCGGTAAGGACGAGAATGTCAGGATCCTCTGCCTCTACATAGTACTTAAAACCCTGACTCAGATTTCGAGGATGAGACGCGTCAGGGTCACTCAAAAAGAGACAAGTACTTACCTTCTTTTGACTAGTGGCAAGACCGCAGACGTTCCACGTTGCTATGCGGATACAGTCCGAGATTCGCGGTGGGAAAGATATGTCCAGAGGGAGGACCTTGTTCGTAGGTTGGGCGCCTTGGACCGTGTTTGAACTCGAACTTGAAGTCGCGTCTGCACCATCCAGTTTGGCCTTTTTTGTTGATTGTGACGCGTCTTCACCGTCAGAATCGGCTGCAGCCTTGCGTTTGGAAGAGGAGGCTCTTTTTGGAGGCATAAGGAAACGTGTTGGAGGCGGTGGGCGAACAAAGAAAGAGTACAAACGAATTGGTAACCGAAACCTTCTGAGCATAAGGTAGCATAATCACGACTGTCACGTTACTCTTGAGTCAAAGAACTGCCGTTTTTGGTAAATTTACAAGATTGGACTTCGACTATAAAAGACCTGCTGTTCTGGTCCTTCCATGCTGTAGTCTTTCCGATGTTGAATCACCTTGGTTTCTCTGCCTGGATTTCAATAGATGGGGTCCCCATTCCGGAGTACCTTGTTGCAGTGAATCCCAGCATAAGCCAGGTGTCTTGTTGGATTCCCTCTTCTCCAGGACGGGTACGAACTTCTACGCCACACACTGACCATACACGCGTATTGACCCCCAATAGAATTTCTCAGTGCATTGGAAGGATCATGGCGGCAATGTGGACACCATCGGGTTCGTCATTCTGGATGGAATGGTTGTCCCAGGCAGATTTCTATACGGTTTGTACAGTCCTTTTTCGATCGCCATAACCTAACATCTGTATATCTACAGTAGGGGACAGCCAAGATCGACAATTTGATCAGGGCCAGATCTCGAATTTTTTGGCCCAAAATTTTGTCAGATTTGAACTCAGAACAGCAAAATACGTCGAAAAACGCATCTCCGAAGTTTTTCCCACGAGCCCTTAGGTACTGCCAAATTTTGGGCGATTTCATTTTCAGCGGTTTTTCAGACCTAGAATTTGACATATATTTTTTTACTACCTATATTATCAATTCAAAACTGCCTCAATACTTGTCATTGCACGCTCGGAAACAGCCCTATGACCCCTCTGCTTCTTTACAGCCCATTCTGCCGCTCTTCCGGTAAGCCCACGACGATAGGCACTCATAAAACGCCAAGCACGATTAATGAACCGACGAATCACATCTGTCGGACATGCATCTAGCCATTTGAGTGCTGCTCCTTTGGCCGCTGCAAATGTGTTCTTTTGCTCGTCTCTGTATCGATATTTACACCAACCCCAGTACTGGATAAATAAATGCATCAGCTAAACAACAAGACTCGGAGACTGAAGATACATACCATTTCAATTGGATTAAGTTCGCAATGAAATTTTGGTAAGAAAATACATTCATGACCGAGGTCCCTGATGAGTTGTTCGAGCATCGATGGCTGGTTAAGAAAATCGTCCTGTTTACTGAGAAGTCGAGCCATGCAACAATCATCATTTTCAAATGGGCATATGGGTTGACATTTGGCTTTCATTCCTCGAGTATTGAAGCCACGTTCTGTGAGTACAGCTTCCAAACCTTTGGGTTTGCCATCACTTGTGGTCATCTTTTGAGGCTTCCCTCGTTTGGTAACATCAGGGTTCGTCTGGGGAATAATTGTGTCCTTCTGCCTTCGTTGCTTTCCACCATCAGATTTGTTCATGTCAAATGCTCGAAGTGCATCTGGTCCAAGAGAAGCATGAGCGGAAGATTGATCAAAAATAAACAATGCAACACAGTTAGGATGCGCCGCCTCAAAAATACTTATTGCATCCTTCACCTGCTCAAGAAGCTGAGCTGTATCCCACCAATCGTCTCCATTGGCACCTGGATAGATCACCTGGCGTGCATCTCGAATGATATTTCCATCGGCATCACGAAGTACGAGTCGCCCATCAACTTGATTGATAAAATCAGAAACATGAGAGAATCGACCTTTTCCTTTTTTCTGCAATATCGATTGACCTTGTCCAAGCCTGCAAAAAATAATGTGAGCTGTAAATAATAAGGAAATAAAAAAAGTACCATGCTTGTGAATGAATATCATTCATATGGAAACACGACTCATCGTGAAATTGTGGTATGATCTCCTTTTCCCCAGGACACAAGACCGGTGGAATCCTCTTCAGATTTTCATCATAGTGGGTCATTTGCCTCTCGTATTTTTCCATTGCCGGAAGGAAGCTCTCATTACGATACTTCACAACATCGGGTCTCTCGTGACCGTCCATATACACTCCTTTCCGCAACCGTGTCAACCGCCAACCCAACTTGACCAACCAACGGCGTGCTGTCCGAGTAGAGAGAGGTTGGGATCGCTGTATACCGAGGCTTGGGAGAATACTGCTATTCAAGGCCTCTCGAAATGTTCTCGGAGTGACCGTACCAACCTTCTGTGCACTCAACCACATTAGCGCAGCTTTTCGAGTTCCTTCATCAGAAAGAAGGCTCATAGAGGTACGCATTCCCCCTCTTCGTTCTCTTGGAAGTTGTTCAAACACTTGGTAGTGCCTGGCCAATTCACGAACACGACGAGTAAAATGTACCCCTTCACCTTCATGCCACTGCTTCGCAATTTCTTGACTGGCCTCAATACGTGGAAACCCTTTTAAACGAAGGGTGGCAAAGTTTCGTATAATCAGGAGCTGGTTGATTTGCGACAAAGGTACGTGTTTTTTTTTGGCTTGAGAGAGGTCCTCCTTGATTTGGTCTCTCAGCTCCTCCCAGCCTCGGATCTCTGCCTTCGCTTTTGGCAAGATGTACTCATCCAGCTCCTCTTCCCAAGCCTCTCCGACTGGATCCTGACTCGCTGGAGCCGCCGACCCGGTTTCCAAGATTGACACCGGCTCGGCACTCTCCTCCTGCGCTCGTACTGTTTCCTCCTGCAAAGTCAACACCGGCTCAACACTCTCTTCCCGCACCCTCACTGCCACTTCCTCCTCCAAAGTCAACACAGGTTCAATACTCTCTTCCCGCACCCTCACTATTTCCTCCTCTAAAGTCAACACTGACTCGACACTCTTTTCCTGCACCCTCACCATTTCCTCTCTCCCCGGAGCAAACTTTTCCTGAACAGAAGACTCTTCGGCATCCTCAACCACTCTCGGGAATTCGGTGTGTGACATTGGACTCGGTTTCTGTCGGAAGCCTTTCACATTGGTGTTTGCCTCGTCAAAACCAAACAGAGTGAGCACCCCTTGGCCTTTCATGCTGCTTTTGTGACGGAATTGACTACGAACGCTCTTCAGTGCAAACACTGGACCAGTATAATACTGTTGCGGACGTTCTGAATGATTTCAGATTCAGTGTGAGTAAAGTAAATGAGTTATGTACCTTTCTGTTCCCTTTCTTGCCTTCGTTGTTTCTTTCTCCTTACAGCCTCCTCTCTCAACAACTCTGGTACCCAATCCTCGTCCTTTGCATCATTATCCATCACGGAACAGTAGTGGAACATCCTTTCCTGCAGTTCTTCGTCCTCAAACTCTTTCTCTTTCCAGTCATCCACAAACAAAACATCACCTCCACTGTCTTCCCAGCCCTCAAAATCCTCTGTTTCCGAGTCTTCGAGATAGCCGTACCATTTTGCGGCACCAGCGGTCACTTTTCGAACGCGTTGGTCGAGAATCTCATTTGAGTCATCTGTCAGACTGCGTGAAGTATTCAGTTTGTTTGAATTGGGGTGCCGGCAACTTGCCTTCTGTGTCTTCCTGTGGTTCAGG